GGGGGGGGAAGCATTTGCTTCCCCCCCCAGACTCTGGCCATGTGTGACAGACTGGCACTGAAAAACAAGCAAGAGAAAGTTGAAGGAATGGGCAGGAGGAGGCAGAGATTTGCGTGGACAGAGAGAAGGATGCACAGCGCAGCAGACACTGCAACACAGAGAATTAATCTAACAATATCTTTTCAGTGATACAAGAAGGATATTCCTACACTACTTTCCTAGGGGACTGAATGGCCCAGAGGCTGGTAATGGAATACGGAGGCCTTTGCCCACGAGCCAGTGGTGTAAATATAGCCTGAGTTGGTCACTTCCTTCGTACAGACCCGTTCAGATCATATAACACATGAGAGTTGACACCTTGTACGTGGTCTCAGCATAGAAGGCCAAAATATTCAAACAAACTAAGAGCATGAACTGCCCTCCCAACTACTCCGAGCTGTTCTTTCTGCACAGAGTTGGCACAGGTGGGCAGGACAGGAAAGCTTGCAAGGCTATGTGGGTGGACGCTAGAGGACTTACACCTCCAATGCTGTCAAGCCCACAATTTCAGATGAATTAAATTCACTTGAAACATATGTAGAGAAAACCTCTCTCTCTCTATTCAACTTTCCCAGTTCTAGTGACTTCTGATTTATTCTTGCAGGCTGGCGGACAGATGAACGTCGGGAAAGTGAGCCGATCTTTCGGAGGTGTGGGGAGAAACCTGGCAGGTGCTTAGTGGTGGGTTTTGTTTGGGGAGGCATGCTAGTAACGGTTTGGTATGTATTGTTTGCATTGCAGGAGTGACAAAGCCCCAGTCAGCATCAGGGCCCCATGGCGGCCAATACTGTGTACAAAACACACAAGTGGACTCAATTCCTGCCCTGAAGAGATCACAATCTATTATGAAACAAGATGCAACAAGTGGGCATTACACACAATGGAAGGGGACAGTGGGAGGGCAGACAAGAGTAACAAAAATAAGGTCTTGCAGTTACATACAGTATCTATTACACAGCACTATGGCTCCAAATCAGCATCAAACCAACAAACATGAGTCTCCCCTGATAATGCTGCAAACCTATTCAGCCTTGTTTAGCTTCCTATAGGAGCCTCAGTAGCTTTAGAGATTAACTCAGAGAGCATATTCCATGCATAAGGAGCAAGGATGGAAATAATTGTGGGAGAAGCAGACAAAGGATCCTTCAATGCTGCGATCATTAGGATAACATAAGATATCTGCTGGAAGGTCAATAAACTTGATTTACTGGGGCTAGAGTATTTGAATTATGGGAGCCCTAAGAAGTAAAGCTTGAAGTTTTGTTTATTCTGGGGGTGGGGGGAAGGATAGAAGGTTTTAAAGAAAAACCCTCACGTATCTCGTGTAGGAGCAGAGAGGTTATTTCACCTCTGTATTTGGCATCGGCTCAACCACTGCTGGAATACTGTGTCCAGAACTCCAGGCTGTGTCTACACTGGCCACTTATTCTATTCCGGAAAAGCAGCCGCTTTTCCGGAATAAGCTGCGAGCTGTCTACACTGGCCGCTTGCTTTTCCAGAAAAGCAATGATGATCTAATGTAAAATCGTCATTGTTTTTCTGGAAAAACTATGCTGCTCCCATTCAGGCAAAAGTCCTGTTCCGGAAAAACTGTTCCAGAAAAGGGCCAGTGTAGACAGCTCAGTAGTCTTTTCCGCAAAAAAGCCCCGATCGCGAAAATGACGATCGGGGCTTTTTTGTGGAAAAGCGCGTCTACATTGGCACAGACGCTTTTCCAGAAAAAGTGCTTTTCTGGAAAAGCATCCTGCCAATGTAGATGCGCTTTTCCGGAAATACTTATAACGGAAAAACTGTTCCATTTTAAGCATTTCCGGAAAAGGGTGCCAGTGTAGACGTAGCCCCAGTGTTCACAATTCAAGAAGGATGTTGCTAAATTGGAGAGGGTTCAGAGAAGAGCCACAAGAATGATTAAAGGAGTGGAAAATGTACCTTATATTGGTAGACTCAACAAGCTCAATCAATTTAGCTTATCAAAGAGAAAGTTCAGGAGTGACTTGACTTAAAAATGGTCAGTGGTGAAGAAACCACCATGATCTTTGGTAAGTTGTTCCAATGGCAAATTTACCTTACTGTTAAATATTTATGCCTTTTTTCTAGTCTGAATGGGTACGTCTAAACTATACCCCTCTGTCAGCAGAGGGATGTAAATTAGACTCATCGAAAGTGCACATGAAGCCGGGATTTAAATATCTTCATTTGCATAACGGCAACTGCCGCTTATTTTCGAAATGGGGCTTTTTGAAAAAAAATGACAGTTTAGACGGGGCATTTGCAACAGAAATGCCCCGTTTTGAAAGATCCTGTAGTTTAGATGTACCCAATGTGTCTAGTGTCATCCTCCAACCACTGGATCCTGTTCTATCTTTCTCTGCTAGACTGAAGAGCCCATATCTGTTCCCGACATAGATACAAAGGGCACATCTACACAACAGGGCTAAAGCTGAAATAAGCTACGTCAAATGCACAGCTTAAGTCGAAATAGCTTATTTCGGCTTTTGGCGCTGTCTATACAGCAAGAAGTCTGAGAAAATGCATTCTTCCTCCGACCTCCTTTAGTCCTTGTAAAATGAGGGTTACAGAAACCAGAGTAAGAAGTCCTCCAGCTCAACATTATTTTGACATTATGTCAAAATAACTGCTTGTAGTGTAGACGGGGACTGTGTTAGTTCAGAATAATGTCAGTTATTCCAAAATAACACTGCTGTGTAGACATAGCCTTATAGACTGTAATCAAGACTAGATGTTTTTCTAAAAGATCTGCTCTAGGAATGATTTTGGGGAAGTTCTCTGGCCCGTGTTATATAGGAGGTCAGATTAGATGACCACAGTGGTTCCTTCTGGCCTTGGAACCCTGGAGTTTAAGCTTTGCAGTCAGTTCCCAAATGTTGCGAATGGGAATCTGCCATCACATTGGAGCAAGGAATGGATGGGCTTAAAAAAAAGTCCATTTAAGTGAAATATTTGTGACAGCTTGAGAAACTCATTCCACACAGCATTTTGGAGTGAGTCTCCCAGCCTGGATTCAGGTTTAGCAGGGCTAACGTTAGTGTTCTAAAAACAGCTGCAGACACAGTGTTTTGAAGGTGCAGTCCAGGCTGGAGCTTGGGTTCTAAAACCCATCCCCTTCCATTGGCTTCAGAATCTAAGGTGCATCCTCAAAGTGCTGTCTACACGGCTATCTTTAGAGCACTATACCTCAAGTCTGTTGTTGACCCAGGCTTGGAGGCTCACTCCAAAATACTCTGTAGATCTATCCACGCACGGAGTCCATGAAAAGCAATGAGCTGGGGAAACTCTGGGTTGCATTTCTGCAGGTGGGAGTCTACGGAAGGAAGAAAGGTGGGGTGTTTGGAGTTTTTTCTTCCTTGTCCCCGCCCCCCCACTTCCCCCACTACCAAACCAAATGAGCCACATAGGCTGGTTTCCTGCCACAGAAGCTTCTGGCTATCAATTTGTCTTTTCCCCATGCTAGACATACTGATAGGCAGCCATAGGAAGCCCTGCTAGAGAGTTCTGCTGAACACGTACTAGAAAGGGACAGGTGGATGAAGGCAAGGGCACCAGTTCCTCCCCAAGGAGGGCCTTCCTACCAATGCTCAGATTTCGCCCTTTACAGGTCTGAATTTGGGCTCAAGCATGTGGTCCTCTGCTGGGATTATAATCTTGCTCCCTTGCCATGTGTTTTTAGATTGTTTAAGCCGTCTTGGGAAGACACCTCTCTTTCTCTCAGTGATGGGGACGGATGAACATTCAGAATCCATCTCGCGTTACTGCCGCCACATGGTAGGTCATGCAAAACCAGTTCCTCAGAGAAACATAGATGTGCATTGACTTCTTAGGTGTGCAGAAACCCCAGGGCTGTGTCTAGACTGGCCAGTTTTTTTGGAAAATCAGCCGCTTTTCTGGAAAAACTTGCCAGCTGTCTACACTGGCCGCTTGAATTTCTGCAAAAGCACTGACTTCCTACTGTAAGAAATCAGTGCTTTTTGCGGAAATACCATGTTGCTCCCGTTCGGGCAAAAGTCCTTTTTGCGCAAAACTTTTGCGCAAAGGGGCTAGTGTAGACAGCTGAGATTTGTTTTCCTCAAAAAAGCCCCGATCGCGAAAATGGCGATCGGGGCTTTTTTGCGGAAAAGCGTGTTTAGATTGGCCACGGACACTTTTCCGCAAAAAGTGCTTTTGCGGAAAAGCATCCGTGCCAATCTAGATGTGCTGTTCTGAAAATGCTTTTAACGGAAAACTTTTCCGCTAAAAGCATTTCCGGAAAATCATGCCAGTCTAGACGTAGCCCAGAGTTGTGTATAATCCCCTACCCTCATCCAAATGTACACAGCTCTCCAACGTCTGCCATCCTTCTCCTGAATGCAGGCAGCACAAACCTACCTGGGATAATAGTTCTGTGGTACTTGCTTGCATCAGAACATTGGACCAAAGCTCCCAGTACTGGGAGGGGACTAGCTGGCTTTCTTCAACCCACTAACCGTATCCTGCTTGGTCCAAAGCTCCCAGTACTGGGAGGGGACTGGCTGGCTTTCTTCAACCCACTAACCATATCATGAATCTGTGGGATGCATCAGTCTGATCATCCATATAAATTCCAGCAGACCCCCGCCCTCCACTTCATTCCTCAAGCCACTGCATCAGAAAGAGGAGGAGGTGGATTGGGGGAGGGGGAGGCTCTACTGAACTCTGTTAGTGAGATCAATCACTTCCGTGTACTAAATAATATTAAACACTCATCACCAGGAGTCTGGATGCCTTACGCACATTAAAAACAATCCGCCACCAGCACTGTCCATACTGGGTTCTAGGGGATGCCTCACTGGTGTTGTTCTACTCAAGACAGGGAGGAAGTGGAACTGCAAAGATGGTAGGTGGGTTGCCACAAAGTTGTTGGCCACGAGGAAAAGAAACCTGGGGTTAGCTGAGTGTGGCAGAGAAGGAAATGTACTGTATTTAGGATTCCTCCCCCTGTTTTAGGACATGACAGGAGTCCGTCAGCTTGCAGGGCACAGCACAGCCACCTACTGTGCAGTGATCACAGGCAGCGGGGAGCTCAGCCTTGACTTGGGAGACATGGACATCCACCAGCAGATAACAGAGCAACACGTAAGGACACTCTCTAACCTATCGCTCTTCTCTCATGAGAAAGAGTCTCAATTGGTGACAGCAGCAAACATCGTGCATGTGTGAGAGATTGTGTGTGTGGGGAGGAGGGGGTGCGCGCATGCTTGGGGGTGGGGGGCTGTAGGGTGCCTGGATCACATAGTTATGCATGGTAAGTAGCAGCATATTGAAAGCAGCAGCAACCTGTGTGGAAGCCTAAGGACAGCCTCAGGATTCAGCCAGTGAAATGGCCCTGCAGCAAGCTGCTGGCCAAGCAGAGCTACTTACTGCCAGCTAGCCAGATGGAAACAGAAGATGTTCTTTTCCAACAGGGGGTCTTTACCAGTGCTGCCCTATCCACAACATCTGTGCCCCAGCCTTCCTAAAAACTAACCCAACCTTTCCAAAAATTAACTCAGCCGATCCCCCCAGTAACTTCATGCCCACCCACCTGAAGATGGTGTTTCTTCTCTGGAAATCGATAGCATGGAAACCTGAAATCCCGTTCTTCTGTCCCATCACCTTCTCTCTACTCCCCACCCTTTCCGTTTCTACATGCTGAGCTGTGTCGCCACAGCTTAAACAGATTCTGCTTCTCAGCCTGGTGGTTAGGGGAGGTTTCAGGACACTAATGAAAGTGATGATTAAAGATGGATTCAAATAAGCCACAGAGCCCAGCCTCCTTCGCCCACTAATTCCATTGCTGACAAAACAAGAGCCTGTACTTAACCACGGAGGATGATTTGGAAGGCACGTTCAGTGGATTCAGCAGCAGCCTTCCCCCCCCACCCCAGAAGGTTCAGAATTAGCAGGGGAAAAAAGTGGTCACTGCTCCCACTTTTGTCTCCAGCCTTCCCCTCCCTGCACCTGGCCAGCGGAAAGGAAAACAAAACCATTATGAGAGGGGCTAATCCTCATGAGCTTTGCAAAACAACCAGGGAAAAGGCCAATGGAAATTCTGAGTCTAGTCACTGATGAAAGCTGCATTTGGGCGGTGTTTACTTCAAGGAAATTTAGCAGAGCCATGTGAGAGAGAGAGAGAGCCTGCTGGGGTAGGGATGGAAGACTACAGCATGTGGCAGCCATTTGTGCAATGTGTCAACATGCCAGCCACAGCAAGGCTGGGACACACCTTACCGCAGCGTCTCTGAAATCTGCACCCCTGCCTCACGGCTACAGTGTGGTGGGAGATGGCTACTTGGCTCGGCAGTGTTTGTTCAAGTGGACCTGTCATACCTTCATATGTCCAGCTGAGTAGCAAGAAATACTGGCTGCTTCCTTAAGTGATTGGTCCTATGTACACAGCTACTGTTCACTCCCCAGCTAGTCAAGATCTGAAGTTTCATAGAGACAGTCTTTTCAGCCCCTGGGAGAAGGAAAGTTTGGTCTCACCCCTGTGGCCCATTGGGTAATAGGGAGCAGCAGAGGTGAGGCAAGCTGAAGAGAACTCCATTCAGTTGTCAATGGAGGGAAAGACCATTGCATTGAGGTGAGGCCTCACACTTGAGAGAGAAAAGCAGCGGGGAAATAAGATTCCCTGAATGGATGTTTAAAGGCCAATTAACAGGCTATGCATAAAAAATGGGAACATTTGAAGGCCTTCAAATGGTGTAATAGACAAACACACAGAGGGACGAGGAGTGATTTGAAGACCCAGGAATATGGCGGGTTAAAGTATGAATGTGGGAATCAGAAGGCCTGTGAATGGGATATGTTCAGAGTAACACACACAGGAGATCAAAGGCTTAAGACCATGCTTAAAGTTAGGCTCCTGTGTGTCCAGATTTAGGCCTCTAGAAAGTTGTATGATTTTCCCAAGTATTGAACACCCAGGCTTCTGCTGGCTAAATATGGCTTTTGGAGACTAACCTTAGGCACCCAACCTCTGAGTATGGGCAAGAAAGTTGGTTTGGTTTTGGTGGTTTCCCCATGGCCTTTATAATATGCAGGCAATTTCTAGCTAGCTCCTCTCCCCGGATGGGCTGAATGCTAAGCTCTTTTACTTCTGATAACGTAGGTTTTACCCATGAAAGCTCATAATATCTCTGTCAGTCCATAAGGTGCCACAGGACTGCTCATTGTTTTTAAAAAGTTACACGCCAACACAGCTACCCCTCTGGGACTCTTTCCTTCTGACATTCAGCACAGGCTTCCTACACAGACAGTGCATTGGGTGGCAGGTACGCATTATGCTAAAGGAATCAGGTGCTGGCTCTGTCACTGTCCGATGCTGGGATATCCCATCTCAAATCAGTCTTTCGTCACCTTTGTTCTGTCTTCTGTGGACACCGTCACAAGGCTTCAGAGAGATGAGGAAAACATGTTGGGCTGAATTCAGACCTTGTGCATGTGCTACTATCAGGCCTGAATTTGACCTGTCAATTGTTTTGGTTTGTAACTGTTACTAAAAAAAAAAAAAAAAAAAAGTCACAGCTCAAAAGTGTGGGGGTGTCTAGCTGCCGCTGACAAAAAATATTTTCAGGGGTTTGAATAAACTGCCATCTCTAATTCTGACTGGACCATGCGGCATGTTGTAAGTTTTAATGGCTCCTTTCCAGGATGGTCCTGCAGTTTCATGTTGGTACTGTTATGGACTGACACATGGAGATCTGAGAATGAGAGATGGTCCTTGGGCCCTGGCTTACAGAGATTAGGAGCTTTGCAGAGGCAGCCTGCTGGATCTCAAGGGAGAGCAAGCATCTTATTTTGTTCACTAGAGATGATCAGATGATATAGTAGCACTACGGGGGGTGGGGGGAGGAGGAGGGACCTCCCTGTTCCGGCGTCCTTGGAACCTGATCAGTACTAAAGCACGCAGTTTGTTGGACCAAGGGAGGTCAAGGCTCCCCTCTTGGCTTTTGGCCCTGCTCCCAGGAGCCAACCCCAGCCCCTGGGAGTCTGCTCTTGGTCCCAGCTGGCGCTGTGCTCCCAACCTTGCCAGTCCCGCTGCTGCCAACCCAGCTGGAGCTACACTCCTAAATCTGGCCAGACAGGGCTGTCTAGGACGGCAATATCCGTGGGTCCTGCTAGACCACAGATGTGGTTGGCATAGTTTCCGCTAAGGTGTGCACCTGCATGGCTATGCACAAAAAAGTCTTCCCCGCCCACCTCTTCTGGAGAGTCACGCAGCAGCACTCGCATGGCCGGTGGCTGCTCCACTTGGTTGGACCAGCTGAGACGGTGTGGTGAGGGAGCCGCTGGAGGAGAGGGGGGCTGGGACCTGCCACGACCATGTGACTGGAGGGAAGGTCTGCTCCAGTGGCCGGGGCTGCCATGTGGCAGGGAAGCCAGAGCCTATTCTGGTGGCTGAGGCCAGAAACAAGACCTGCTTCACGGGGAGGGTGTCTGCTCCAGCAGCCAGGAACATGTGTGTGTTAATAAATTTGGTGGCACGCATCCAAACCAGCGCATGTAACCTCAATATTGGTGCACGAGACAGAACTCACTCTGCTCATGGTTGGAAAATCTTAGCAGGAATACTGGTTGTTGGACTAGAGAGTCCTGGATTTTAGAGGTTCAACCTGTAATAAGGAGTTTGAGTGGGAGCCACCAGCAACCTTCTTCTGAGCGAAGGACAGGCTGGTCTGATACAAGGCTTTATAGTGGAGGATAGGAAATAGAAGGAGGAAAAAAAATGAGAACCTGGAAGACCTGCTTTCTCTAAGAAAATGCTCTTCATGGTTCACTCAAGCCTGCATCTAAGAGTTTCAGTAAACATGGCAATATCAAATACACATCCTAGCCACCTGAGTATCAGCAAAGTGTGCTAGGTGCAAAAATCTCACTCTTGTCCCAGGTGGCTTAAGGTGGATCAAGTTGAATCAAGCGGACGGTGTTCTGTGTTTTCACTAGGTGTCCAAGTTCAAGGAGAGTCTCTGCTCAGCCCCACTGGTATGTGTTGATGGGAATGTGCCCACTGCCACCATTCAGTACGTCTGTCAAATTGCTAAAGAGCACCAGATAGCAGGTAAGGAGAACTTGCTGCCAGTGGACCCCTTGGGGCACAATCGTGCATGTTCTGAAATGCAGCCCGCAAGGTGCTAAGCACCCTCCTCTCTCCTAACTTCAGTCAGAGACAGAGAGTTGAAGGCACCAATATGGTCTAGCAGCTCAGGGTTGTGGGTCGTTTTTTGTAAAAATTCTGCAGCTACATCCGGCACAGACATGCATATTATAGGCTAGGGATGTAAAAATGTGTGTAATTAAGTAACCGGGTAAATTTCAGGGGTTACATGCAGGACGGCAGTTGGCTCCCACCTGCTGCGCCACAGGGCTACCACTGTATCAGGAGCCTGCATATCGGGAGCCTGTGTGTAGCTGTGAACGTTAACTGATGAGCCCTCACTGACATAGTCACATCCCTACTGTGTGCCTTGGTTTGAAGACTGGCATTTGGATTTGCCCCTTTGCTCCCTGTGAAATACATTGGCCCCCTTCTTGGTTGGCTGCAGTCTCTTCACAATCCATCCTGAGCTTTCACAGTTGCTCCCCCACTTTCTTCAGAAGTGAGCTCTGCAGGGGAAAGCGGGGGCAGTTCTCCAGCCTCGGCAAATGAGCAGAGACTACAAAGACAGACAAAGCCTGTGAGAACAGCCAGCAAGAACTATCAAACTAAATGCCCATGCCTGACCCTCTCATCACATCACCTCAGAGCCAGAAGCGGTTTAACGGTTACCACTGCAGCAGAAAAGGAGGTTGCTCTAGCTAGGAAAGGCTATGCCATTGTCACAGCAGGCAGCGAACAAGCACTGTAAAAACCCCAACAAGTATCCCAAAGAGCTGTCTGTGCTGAAGCAGAGAGAATCTTATACCAGCTAACTAACTGCCCTATTGTTTTGAAGTGTGCTATGAGCCAACAGATGAGAACAAAGCTTCTAAGCCATTCCTTTCGGACAGCTGGAGAGCACTCACATACATCTCCCCCAATCTGCGAGAACTAAGGGCAATAAATCGGAGCCTGGGGTGCCCTGTGCCAGCAGGTACAGTACTGTGATGTGGTAGTGCAAGAGAAATGGATAATCTAGGCACTACACTAACCCTAACCCTAACCCTGATCCCTGGCTCAGCTGTGCAGAGGCTGCCCCTTTGAAACACCGTCTTGGCATTTCAAAGGGGCAGTGCTGTGGAGCCCAGGGTCAGCTGGGGACTCCCCAGAACCCAGGATCAGCTGGGAATTCCCCTGCTGACCCCGGACTCCATGAAAATGCTGAGGCTTTGAAATGCACAAGAACCCCTGCTAGGGACTCCTGTGCATTTCAAAGCAGGCACGCCCATATGCAGCCCAGAGTAAGCGGGATTTCCCACTGGCCCCGGGCTGCACGCTGAGTTCCGCATTCCTCTTTTGAAATGTACAACAGCCCCAGCGGGGGCTCTTGTACATTTCAAAGGAGGAATGCGATGGAAATTCCATCAACTACTCAACTAGTCAATTAACCGCAATTTAATATCCTTAATTCTGACTCTTGACTTGGATGAGGCACAAAACTAGCTCAGCAGAGTGCTGCAGGTGTGGGGTTGCTATACAGCCTTGAGTTTTTGTCAGGCACACTGAAAGCCCAATCAAGCAAAAAGGGCCACTAGTTTATTTCAGATGCCCCCATGAAGCCTTGCAATATGACGGCGTTTGCCTTCCTGATGTTGCCTCTGGAGGAAATAAAACATCGCCATATGCAGACACCAGCGCAATGGCCCTACGATACCGACAACATGAGTTATTTTGTCCCCGTGCCCACGTACCGAGGTGTAAACCCATGAGAGTTGGTACCCTCTTTTCAGAATGAGGCGCACTGGAGGGGCTGTGTGGAAACCTAGAGTTGGAACAGAAGCGAGAGGGAGGGGGAGGGTTGCTGGTCAGGAGTGAACAGCACACAGCAGAGCGGTGAGTGGGAAATTTGCACGGTGTGTCAGCGCTGTGGCTGACTGGCCTGTGCTGAACGTTTTCCATGAGCACTGTCAATTCACAGCTCAGCTGAAAACCACTCCTAACTAGGCCAACAACCCAGTGACTTGGAAAGCTCAAGCCGGCAGTTTTTTGTGGTCTGAAGGGATATTGTGGCATTTCCTTCCATTGCTGTCTAAAGAGCTGCCAGCCAGGCTGGAGGACATTGTCAGGACTGCCATGACCCTGACCCGCCCCTTGCTGACACAACTGCGCTGTGTGGTGGTGACACTTGGCGCGCACGGAGTCCTCTTGTGCAGCAGGAGAACAGAAGGGAGCATCTCAGTGGGCCCTGCAACTCACCAACAGGTAGGGGGCTCAGAAGGACCAAATGAGTGGCACTGAGCCAGTCTCCAGTGCTTGAGAGCACGGGCATAGAAATGACTCTTCAAGCCTTTGTTAATAGTGCTACATGTTTACCTGTCCCCAGCGGAGTGGACAGCTCTGCATATTAGTAATGAAAACTGAGCCTTCCTTTCCTATGGCACTGAGTGTCATAGGGGGGGAAAGGAGGCAGGCCCAGGTGCACTGTGCCAGAGCAGATGCTCTCTCTTTGGCCAGTTAAACATCTGAGGCTAGAAAGGGTCAAGGAGAATGTGAAAGAAGATGGAGACCAGGTGAGTGAAAGCAGTCTTAGAGCACAGGCTGAGTCAGTCAGGAAAGGGTGCACTGTGCCAGAGCAGATGCTCTCTCTTTGGCCAGTTAAACATCTGAGGCTAGAAAGGGTCAAGGAGAATGTGAAAGAAGATGGAGACCAGGTGAGTGAAAGCAGTCTTAGAGCACAGGCTGAGTCAGTCAGGAAAGGGGCAGGTGAGAGCTTCCAGACACCAAAGGATGGTGGACAGTCCTGGAAGGAAACTGCTGTTAGTTCCTGGGAGAAGGCCCTGAGTCAGTCAGGAAAGGGGCAGGTGAGAGCTTCCAGACACCAAGGGATGGTGGATGGTCCTGGAAGGAAGCTGCTGTTAGTTCCTGGGAGAAGGCTAAAAGTAGGAGAGCAGCAAGAGGGGATTGTCAGCTGCTAAGTGTCTCCAAGCCAGAGGGCCAAGGCTGATGGCCAGAGATCAGCAGTGGAAGATGCCTGTTGATTTCTAAGACAGAAGAGCAGCAGCAGAGCTTGCCAGCCGCCACACCGGAGAGCTGGCCCCAGGAAACGAGTGAAAGGACCAGGGGAGCAAGGGAAGCTCTGGGGGTTTCTGCTGCAGAGATTAGGGCTTCACTCTAGCTGGAAGGGCTGGGATGGCTGTCTTTGCAGAAGGACAGAGAAGGACTGACGAGGAGCCTAGGTATAATAAAAGTCTGAAGTGTAGTATTTGGGGTATCACGCTGTTGAGGTCTTAAAGACTCTGTATTGGGGTGTGAGAAATGGACTGTGGATGATGTGAAATATGTTTTAGTAATAAACCACATCAAAGGGCTGGAGGATAATCTTGGAAGGATTTACTGCGTACCCTGAAAGGGAAACTGAGGCTAGTGCTCAGTCATGCAGTGGCTTGCCATAAAAGGGGCTTCAGGAATTCAAACAGTGATGTCTATCCGTCTTTAAAATGTGCTTTCTTCTGAGCAATGAAGAAAGCAAGTTTAAAAAAAACAACACTCTGCATCTATATGCTAGTAAAACTCAGTTGTACAAGATTTGGTGGAAAGTGAATCCCAAATGGGCATTAACACAGGCCAAGTGAATGTGATTCAAAGTGTAAAGCAATATTATTAGTATAGGGATAGGGCAACCGTGGACAAGATAAGCTAGGTCCAAATAGCACTTCTAGACATTGGTGAGCCCCCAGTAATGTTACTCCTTCTCTCTCGCTACAGATTGCTGCAGGTGAGCTGTGTGCCACCCACTACCCTGCAATCCCCATCTCCAGGGAAGAGATAGTGAATGTCTCAGGAGCAGGTGACAGGTATATTCCTAATTACTGTACCCAGACAAGGATGCAGTCAGGAGATTCCTTTATTTTCTGCAGCTGAATTCTGATCTGGAATTTTTAACATTGCCATGAAAACAGATTTCACTCTGATACTTGGGAGTTTGACTCCTTATCAGGTGGATTTAAGGTTTGAGATATCATTCCGTAACAGGATGAGGTTTAATAAAGAGAAATGCAAAGTGCTCCATTTAGGAAGGAACAATCAGTTCCATACATACAAGATGGGAAGCGACTGTCTAGGAAGGAGCATGGCGGAAAGGGATCTAGGGGTCATAGTGGACCACAAGTTGAATATGAGTCAACAGTGTGATGCTGTTGCAAAAAAAGCAAATATGATGCTAGGTTGTATCAACAGGTGTGTTGTAAGCAAAACTCGTGAAGTCATCCTGCCGCTCTACTCTGCACTAGTTAGGCCTCAGCTAGAGTACTGTGTCCAGTTCTGGGCACCACATTTCAAGAAAGATGTGGAGAAATTGGAAAGGGTACAGAGAAGAGCAACAAGAATAATTAAAGGTTTAGAGAACATGACCTATGAAGCCAGGCTTCATGAACTGGGCTTGTTAAGTTTGGAAAAAAGAAGATTAAGGGGGGACATGATAGCGGTTTTCAAATATCTAAAAGGGTGTCACAAGGAGGAAGGAGAAAATTTGTTCCTCTTGGTTTCTGAGGACAGGACAAGGAGTAATGGGCTTAAAGTGCAGCAGGGGAGGTTTAGATTGGACATTAGGAAAAAATTCCTAACTGTCAGGGTGGTCAAATATTGGAATAAATTGCCAAGGGAGGTGGTGGAATCTCCCTCTCTGGAGATATTTAAGAACAGGTTAGATAGACATCTGTCAGGGATGGTGTAGACGGAGCTTGATCCTGCCTTGAGGGCGGGGGGCTGGACTCGATGACCTCTCGAGGTCCCTTCCAGTCCTATTATTCTATGATTCTATGAAAAGTACTAGCCCCTGGCACCTATATATATCAGTGATCCCTTACAGAAAAAATGATCGTTGCGGGGCATTAACAATTAGAGTAATGTCAATTAGAGCATTGCGAAAATGGCGATCGGGGCTTTTTTGCGGAAAAGTGCATCTAGATTGGCCACGGACACTTTTCCGCAAAAAGTGCTTTTGCAGAAAATCGTCCTGCCAATCTAGACGCTCTGTTCCGAAAATGCTTTTAACGGAAAACTTTTCAGTTAAAAGCATTTCCGGAAAATCATGCCAGTCTAGACGTAGCCAATCTGTATTAAGAAGTTGCTCATAACAGCTTAAGTCTATCAAAGCCAGTCTGACCACTCATCCTCCTTTTCCCAGAACCCACTTGGACACATGCTATAGCATCCTAGGTGCCAGTCACAGAACAACAAGTTCTGAATTACTCTAATCTGGGATGCCAGAGTTCTTCAAGTTAGTGGTTGCTGAAGTAACACAGCAGTCGTCAAAATGGAATTGAAACTTAACCTTCCACTGTAAGGTTTTCTAGAAGTGGGACCCAGAGTCAGGCAGTGTCTTAAGGGCAGGAGTTGCCATAGGAGCTCAGTTCATCAAGTCCAATTTTCGGCCTGGGGGATGGCTGGTGCCTTACACTTCCAATGAGTTCACACCATACCTTGACTTACTATTGATGCTATGCCGTACATTGCAGTTGGAAGGGCCAGGCCTTACTTACTGATCTCATAGTGATCAACATCTTCTAAGAATTTATTATCCCCCTTGTCTTGTATAGCTCTGTGCAATACAGTCAGAGTTATCCAGAACTTTCCTCATAAGCTGTAATGACTGACTGACATTTTAGTGAACTGTCTGGAAAGTCTGTATGAGGCTGATTTTTCCACATTTATTTACCACTACTCTAAAGGCATGATTAGTCTCCCCCTTTCTCATGCTAGAGGACGGCATGAAAAGGGACTGGCTAGTTTCATGGAAACCTTATTCATTCTGAATACTTTGGTCAACTCTCCTCTACTTTCTCCTTTCCAGACTAAATAATCACAGTGTTTCCAATCGCTCCTCACATGCAAACCCTGCCATCTCTCTGTCCCGCAGTGGTGCAGTGCTCTAGACTTGTTCAGTCTCAGCCACATCTTGTAAGTGGGGTGACCACAACATTGAACAATGACCTGACCTCCTCTGGAATAATTGTTACCAGTGGCCTAAATCTTATCGTTTGTTCGCTTTTAGCATTTACCTGAGCTTCCTATTTGTGTTATGCTATTCCCATGCCAGACATTGTCCGTGATATATCTGAGGAGTAGGGATGTAAAATCCTGTTGAACCAGTTAACCAATTAAAGGAGGAGTGAGTGAGGGGGCTGCTTCAGCTTGGCTGGAGTGGCCACCCCCCTGCCTGCCGCTGGGCTGGAATGTGCCTCCCTCTCCCCCACCACAGGCAGGGGCTGCATCAGCTGGGATGCCAGAGCAGCCCTTGCTCACAGTGGGCCCCCTGCGGAACTGAAGCAATCCCCTGCCCGTGTTGGGCAGGAAGCTGCTCCAGCCCCACTGGTTAACCCTTCACATCCCTACTAAGGAATACCGAGTTTTTTCTTCCTAGAGCACCCTGAGGTTCAGGCCCACTGACGTCTGTATCACCACACTACGGATGTTAAAATGCGGTCATCACGCTAATCGTACAGTCCATACATTTTGTATGGACTGTATGATTAGTCGATAGGACCGCTCTGCAGAGCTGCGGTGGAGGTAACACCAGGAGCCAGCTCAAGCTGGGACTGAACAGTCCCAGCTCGTGCCGGCTCTGGGAGCCACCCGTGCTGTGGCTCTTACTACATTTAAAATGCAGAGCCACAACGATCAGCATGAGCCAGGACTGCTGGGTCCTGGCTTGGAGTCCAGCAGCCCCTGTTCGTGACAGACAGCCCTGTCTGCCACAAACAGGGGCTGATGTCCCACTGATACAGGCAGTGGGGGCAGGAGAAGGAGCAGACAGCAGGACCCTGTGCCAGCCGGGAATCAGCTGTCCCAGCTCACTCTGTGTCCCTCCTGCTGCGCTTTAGCTTTTTAAATGTATGAAGAGCCAGCAGGCTCTTAATACATTTAAAAAGCAGAGGCGTGTCTGGGACTAGGCACGAGATGGGAATCGGCTGATTCCCCACTGCCTCCCCTGCCCTCTGTGGAGACGGTACTGAGGGGAACTGGCTTTTAAGCCGGTTCCCTCCAGCACTGGCTCCTGCTCCTCCCTCCCCTTTGCTGCCTCTCTCTGCTAGAGGCAGCAAGTGGGAGGGGGCAACTAGTCAAGTCATGCTTATCAGATAGTCAGTTAGCTGCTTACATCCCTACACCATACTCATATTAAAAAATTAAACTGATCTACTCGCATAACTCTCAGTTTCTCTGAAACCATTCCACGTTTCTCAGATCTTACTACATTTAAAATGCAGAGCCACAACGATCAGAATGAGGCTAGCTAGGACTGTTCAGTCCTGGCTTGAGCTGTCTCTAGGAGGTAGTCTCACTGCCGCTCTGCAGAGCAGCACCCATACTGACTAATTGTGAAGTCGATACAAATTGCACTGACTACAAGATTAGCTAAATAACCACTCTTCACTTCCTTACTTCAGTGCACACAGTGCTCAGGTCCAATTAGTGTAAAAAAGAAATTGAAGTTTTTCCTTCCCATCCACTAGGATGAATTGAGAAGTCCCTGGAAGCACTTAGTAGCGAATTTCCAGATTGGAAGGCCATGCTGGTACTGAGTGTAAATCTCTGCTGGGCTACAGCTACAACAGAGTGCTTGCCTGCACAGAGAAAGGGTAGCTATCTGTAGCCCCCCAGATCTGATGAAGCTCTACTGCTACAATGCTACCAGCAACTGCTGTAACCTTGACTAGGCAGATGAGGCTTGCAAAGACCTTTGATGAACTGTTGGCTGAACGTTTACAAGATTCCTTTATCCAAAGGCAACTCCCTGGTCCTGGCAACATGGGAGCCCTCCTCTGATAGCACTATCTCTTGGCTTTTTTAAATATCGCCTCCATCCTTCCAGGACCTAGGACTTCCCATTCATCTTCCCCACTCTCCATCTCCTTCATTTTACTCTCCCTTTTCTCCTTGTATGACCTCTGTTACCGTCTCTCTTTCTCATCGTTTCTTTTTCCCTTCTTCATTGCTGTTTCTTCTGTCCTGGTTCTTACTTATTTTAGAAGGGCACAAATGCTACAAAAAAAGGCTTCTACCCCATATATGCAATGCCCTGATAGAACTGAATGCATCACACACAGTGCCCCACATGGAGCAGCAGTAGCAGAAGTCAAAAGAATCAGCCACTAGCAAGTTAGGCAGCTTAGAAGCGCCTACTGCCATACCCATGCCCCCGCAACCTTCCAACTCCAACAGTTCCCTACCTTTATCCTTAACTATTCCCCACCCGTCTTTGTTAAACGCCTGGGGAGAAGGAGATCTTGAATGGTCTCTTGCAACTTGTGATAACTCTTGACATTAGCCAGCCTGTCCCACTTTGTACTTAGCTGTGATGCTGCAAGTACCTTTCCCAGATCTGAAGAAGAGCTCGGTGGAAGCTCTAAAGCTTGTCTCTCACCAACAGAGGTTGGTCCAATAAGAGATATTACCTCACCCGCTCGGTCTCAGAAAATTAAAAACAGTTTTACAAATCCTCAAAAGCAGTGCACTCTGCCCTGAGAGACTGGAAGTAGCCATATATACATGACAGAGGGAGGAATTTCTCCTGTTATCCAACACCCTTGTTAGAGCCTCATCTCCCCCATCCCAGTTTGTTGCTTGTAGGTTGATTTGCTGTCGTTACCTTTGGCTCTGAGCTTTATTTTGCGCATTTGTGCCTTTTCTTTCTCTTCCCAGTTTAATGGCAGGAATAATTGCTGGGCTGCTTGCTGGGCACGACACAGATATCTGCGTCCGGATGGGTTTGCTCTCTGCCTACCTCTCCCTCCGGTCACACGAGCCCATCTCCCAGGAGATTAGTACTGCCAGCGTGAACCTGGAACAGGTCAAGGCTAGGAGCTGGCCAGAAGTGAAGATGTGGAAGATGATTTAGAGCTTGTGCTCCAGCGGATGATCTCTCCCCTTTCCCACCACGCCTGAAGCTCGGTACTTCTCTCTTGCTCTGGCATGTGCCAGTCTTAGATCTCAGCGATGGTTTGGGATGGACTTGGGAGTATGTCAATTACAACGGGTTGTGAGTGGGAGGATGGGCGCGACATGACTTCAGCTGTCCACCCCTCACTGTCAGTCCCTCCGAAGCCACACAGCCAGTATCTGTACTACACCTCCTAGAAGGCAGACAAAAGTCAGAGTGCCAAATCAGCTTGGATTACACCTTCCTGAAAAGCTTGTATTTCTTCCTCCTACCTTAACAGAGGCCAGTCTGCTGTTCCTTCAGCCCAGAGGATTGAATCAAGTTCCTTTCCATCAGCTCAACAACAGATAGCTAAGACAGTACGCTTCATAATTATGGGATGGCCGAACAGCAGCCCACTGGCCAAACATGGCATACAGTGCTACAGCATGGCCTAGTAATCGAAAGAGAGCATTGCATGCTGGGACCTAAATACTTGTTTAGTCTCTCTGCAATGTCCAAGTGCTTCTGAAACACAAATGGATGTAACCTCACAACATCCCACTGAGGTAAGAGAGCCCTGTTCTTGTATCACAAATGGGGAAGCAAGGCACAGAGATTAAGTGATATTCCAAAGGTTACAGTGAGGCTGTAGCACAGTTGGGAACTGAACCACAATTGCCCAGCTTCTAGCCCAGTCCTTAACCACAAGACCATCCTTCTGCCAGTGGCTTTTCTCACATCCATCTCTTTATTACTGATAGCTGTAACAATCTGATCTATTAATACAACACATCCTGCCTGGTGATGCAGAGTTTCGGTACTCAGAGACTACATTTCTCCCTGGCCACCTAATGTAATAATCCTATGACCACTGAGCAAGCAAACCTATGAGAAGTAGGTTTGTTCCATCTGGCACTGGGGAGCTGTGGGGGTCATACCTCTCCCTTCACAATGCCAGAGGAGGGTTAGCCACTGGCTGACCAAGAGGCAGCAGGTCCAACCCCCTTTCCTGATGGGGCATCTGCCATCATATTTTCAGTTCCCTTCGTATAGAAAAAAAAAGTTTTTTCTCCTTTGTTCAGTCTCCAAGACATAATGCCAGAGAGTATCCATAGCTTCATCTCCCATGTTTTCACAAACATTTCACAGTGACATTAGTAGATTTCAAATGACATATGGCATGTTGCCTTTTATATAAATACTAGCCAATTAGCCCATCCTAAAACGGGATTTTCAGGTCTCTCCTCCACGTCCTATTCCCTTTCTATCTTGGTCTTCTCTCCTGAGCCTCCTGTCTCTGTCTCTCTCTCTTCCCGCTCCTCCTACTGCCTCCCCCTCTCTCTCAGATCTCCTCCATCTTCTGCCTCTCTCTCCGTCTCTCTTTCTCTTCTCCCTCTCCTGCCTCTCACTCTCTTTCGCTTCTCCTCCTCCTCCTCCTGCATAGGGAGCGCGGAGCCCAAACAGCTGTTTGCACCGCTTGCTCCCGCATGGCTGAGCGGCTGCCTATGAGTTCCAGCTGCCCCCCTGCACTGTTTCCCTTCACCCCAACACTGATCCTGCAGCCTCCCAGTTGTCCTCCACCTCTCCCTCCCCCTCGTTCCCCCGCCCTCTCCCCCAGCCAGGGGGCGGGGCCTGTAGCCGCTGTCACGCCGCACATCACTGCCGTGGCACTCGGCTGACTTCTGCGCTGCTCAGCCAGGCCGCTGCGTGGGAGCAAGCGGCGCAAGTGGCCGTTTGGGCCCTGCGCTCCCCATGCAGCCCGGGCCCCCCAGAGGGAACAGCCAGCATTTCAGCAACAGTGCTGCCCAGAGGGAACAGCCAGCATTTCAGCAACAGTGCTGCCCAGAGGGAACAGCCAGCATTTCAGCAACAGTGCTGCCCAGAGGGAACAGCCAGCATTTCAGCGTTACAGACTCTCAGACATTGGGCTACTATATATATGATGATGACACCTGCGTGAGAGGAATATGAGAACATAAGAACGGCCATACTGGGTCAGACCAAAGGTCCATCTAGCCCAGTATCCTGTCTGCCAACAATGGCCAATGCCAGATGCCCCGGAGGGAGCGAACAGATCAGGGAATCATCCAGTGATTCCTCCTCTGTCACCCATTTCCAGCCTCTGACAAACAGAGGCTAGGGACACCATTCCTACTCATCCTGGCTAATAGCTGTTGATGGACCTAAACTCTATGAATTTATCTAGTTCTTTCTTGAACCCTATTCAAGTCCTGGTCTTCACAACATCCTCTGGCAAGGTGTGAAGTTGTCAAGCCTGACAGGAGAGGCTGAGACAGAGTAGTTCACCACTCTTAAATACCTTGGAGGACCTGGAGCTCAGTACCGCCACTCAAACCTTTTTCAGGTCACAAGTAAAAAGGCAGATGATGATTTTAATGAGTCAATTCCTAGTTCATCTCACAAGAGCCACTATGCAAGTCCATCTGTTTGCAGCTCCAAATGCTCAGAAGATACTCAAGGGGGCTTACAAGTATATTGGTGTGTGGTTAGCAAAACATCCTATTCCTGGTTCAGCCTGAACTTGCTGGCAGTGGTTTCAATGGTCTTAAACCACTGAAGTTTGACAATCTGGGAGCAACAGCTGTGGTGAGAGAGTGCTGAGAGAGAATGCTGAGAGTGTGTATGTGTGTTTTCCCCCCCAATGATCTGGTTAATTGTTTTCCCACTGGCCTATAACCTCCAAGCTCCCAACTTTAAGCACTGCTCCTTGGGCCTGCTCAATTTTCATCATCAGAGTTCAGTGAACTGGTGGTTGAAATGAAACCCCCTTCACTATGTATCAACAGAGAGAGGTTGGGGGCAGGTCTGTAGCATGACCTTCCTCCTCCTCAAAATCTGCAGTTGGCGTTTGTAATTCATTGGCTAAATTCAGCAGCAAAGCCAGCTTTGGTGGATGATTAGCTTCTCTCTCTCACCTGTGAGCAATGGACATTGTGCTTTGCACCGCTGGACACCAAGCAGGAATCTCCTCTGCCTGGTACACGGTCTCAGGGACATTCATTTTTCACTAAGGCAGTGCCTTCACTGCGAGCTGGGGGTGGGATTCCCTGTTTGCGTGCACATCCTCACACATCCTCACACCCGCTCCCATTGAGCCGACACCTTTTCCTCCACCTTTTTGTACTCAGGGGGCAAACTCAGCCTAACCAAAAAGTGGGTGGTGCAACCATCTTTGCAGTAGAAGTGGCAAAAGAAACAGACTCTGGGCCTGCCAACAGGGAAGGGCAAAGGGGCCAACTGCCTCAGGGCCCAACAACTGTGAAGGCCTGGGCCTCCCAGCCGCACCACCATTACTGCGGCAGCAGCCAGAGCCTGGGACACTTCACGTTGCCTCTGGAGCACCATGTAGGGCACTTGGAGTGGCTCTAAGGGTTGGGGGGATGGCTGCCTTTTGCCCCATCCCTTCTGCCTACAGCCGTGCCCCTTCCAGGCGTGTGGAGCCATCGCCCCCTTGCCTAGGGCCCCAGCCTGGCAGGTGGTTCCCCCAATAGACCCACAACACCCTAGTGGTGAAAGTGCACAATCAGTCATTGAAGCTATTTAAAAATGCCTGGTTATAAAAGATGGCTTTGAGACCAAATAAACCCCGTCCTCACAGGCACCCACATGAACATTTTGCCAGCAGCTCCATTTACTAACAACAATCCTGTCTGCAGATAGATTAGCTACAATATTCCATGATCACAGCGGGGAAAGATTATCCTAAACACACACAGCTACCTTTGGAAAGAGAGGGGTGTTGCTAGTGGGGAGGGCTGTGATAGAGTTTGGGGGAAGGGGCGGTTTCCCAGCAGTTTTCAGGTAGAAGTCAAAAGGTAGCATTTCAGTGTGGCTGACACCCTGAAAGAGGGGTGGGGTGGAAATCTCTGCTTCATAAAAGGGTTTCAAGCCGCCCACACTGAGCAAGAGGCAGCTCTGATCATCCCTACAAGCACCGGGGCTGGGCACAGAAACACACAGTAGCTGGGAGGAAGCAAGAGCCCGAGGATGAGGATTTATACAGTGACCACCCTCACTGTCCTCTCAGTGCAGCTCTCTTGGCTGGTGCAGGCTGGGGGCGGGAAAGGGTTGGTAGCTGCAGAGAAGCCGGCGGGGGCTGAGAAAGCGAGATCAGCACCTCAGCCATCAGATGGAGGAGAGAAAGTGCCAGAAGGGAGCTCAGGGAGGCATCCACCTGCTGCCGGAGCACAAAAGGCAGAAGCTAGAGCCAGGTCCCACAGCAAGCCGCTGAGCAAGCCACAGCGAGAAGAACGCAGGAGACAGAAGGCCACTAGCAAGCAGCAGAACCCCCGGCTGCAGCCCCACAAACGCAAGAGCTCAGGATCCAACCACCACTTGGAAGGCCACGGGAAGTTCAATACTGACACAGTGAGTAGAACACCATGGCCCTCTGCTTGTGTCTTGCTTCCCCCTCAGACCTTGGCCCTACCTAACAGCTGCCTCTGGGGCAGTGGGAAGGCAGCCTGGTTCATCTCACTGGAGGGTAAAATGAAGAAAAGGCCAACAAACTAGGTCTGGGGAGACAGAGAATGTCCTTTCCCCCTCACCACCCCATCCTGAAGGGGTTGACATGCCAAGCGTTTGTATGGGAGTGTCAGAGCAAAAGATTTCTTTTGAGGCACCAGGCTGTCTGTGCCTGTTTAACCACCAACTAAAACAATGGACTGGTTTTGTCAGATACGTGCATGTATGCAGTTTTGTGACCCACTCTCACTAATCTGTCTGCTAGACTTAAAAGTGAAGATCTGGGTCTGCCATTCACTAGTGCCGTGGTATCCAACACAGCTTCTTCTCAATACTGGGGAGATGGGGAGAATTGTCCTTAGTACTAAACAGCAGCCATAGCTCAGATAGGAGCATGAAAAAGCTTGTCTTTGCCAGTCAGGAACCTCGTGGTGTTAGCCAGGCATGGCTCCAAGCACTGATATAGCAGAGTCTGTCTCTCCTTCAGACAAGCCCAGTTCTAAGATGGACATGCCAGATGATATGTACAGAAATCTCATTCTCAGGTCCTCTGTTGCCAGTTTAATCAAAGCGGGTTTGTTTAGCTAAGTGAATAATTGATTTTTTGATTTGGTGGCTAAACCAAAAAAAGCCCCCCAAAACATTCCATTTGTTTTAAACCAAAACGGGTGTTTATAGTGCTCCCTTGCCAAAATGACACAAAACAAAAATTTTGTTCAGGTAGAATGAAACATTTTGAACGTTGACTGAAAACATTTCCTAAATGACTTGTGACCATTTTGAAAAAAGGTGAAAAGGAAGTATTCTACATTTCTGATTTATTCCCAGCTGAAATGATTCACTGCCAGCCCCAAACTCATGAGTTTTTGGGCTCTGAATAATGTGGGTTTTGGGGGTTTTTTTGGCAACTTTACTATTGGTGGGGGGAAAAAACACCCTTGTCTTGCTATAATTATGTGACTGTTGCTGATACCATTCATCAACATATTTTCAAAACACAGGCACCTTGTGCTGAGCAACTAAACATCAACTTATCCAAGTTTGAAAATAGCATCTTTTGACAGAGCAGGCAAATTTGGAAAGTTATCCTTTGGGGGCTGAGCTCTACCTCCAGTCGGGGGTGCTTTTACAGATTCACTGACTATCTGACTCACACCGCCTCTCACTTCAGTGGTCTCACATCTGCCTCTCAGTTTAACCTAGGCTTCTTTAAACTTTGGTATCTGTGGAATGTGGGTCATCAAACCTTGGTCAATCTACAGGTAAAAGGCTTGCTTTTTATCAACATGGACTTCCATCAGTAGCTCATCACAAGGCTGGGAGCACAGCTCCTCCTTAGCCCCTATGACAGTGGTGGGAAACCTTAGGCCTGGTGGCTGCATGCAGCCCCCAGCTTGCCTGGATCCAGCCCCCGAGGCTCAGGGATCACCCCACACACATTGGGGAGCCCATGCTGGTGCTCCAGCCCCCCTGTTACCCACCCACAGGGCTGGAGCACCCAAAATATAGCAGCTTGGGCCCCCTTAGTCTCTGGTGTGCCACCCACAGGGCTGGAGCACCCAAAATCTAGCAGCTTAGTCTCTGGTGTGTGAGAGAAATGTGGGAAGTGTCTTTTTCCTTCTCTCTTAGGAGCTTCTCACTTTGTTTCTCACTTATGTGTGGCCCCGAATGATTTTTCTGTGGGTCAGTGGTCCCCAACCCTAAAAAGATTCCCCACCCCTGTTCTATGACATAGTGTCATGGGGCCACTGCCCCACACTGGGCAGAGACTAGGTTAACAGAACCCTGGGGAAGCTGCATGAGGA